CTAGGACTACTGCACTGTCAAGGTTGGAAATGAGCCTTAAAATCAGGTCACTTATCTGGCCCTTGAGATAGGTACACTGTATTGAGGAGGGTAAACCTGAATATATAATTTCTCCCCCAATTTATTTATTTAGCAAAGAAATACATGTGGCATCTTCACTTGTCAGCAAGCCTTGCCTACTCTGCTTTAAGATCTATCAATAATAGATCTTAATATTATCTATCAATAATAGGATCACTTCTCCACTGATACTGCCTTTCTCATAGCCACTGGTAATATTTGCCTGAACTGTGGCAGTCTTGCTGCTCCCATCCTTGTCCTCCTGCCATTTATTTTCTTCACAGATGCAAGGGTAAGTTTTTTAACAATGTAAACTGTATCGTGACATTATGATGTTCAAGACTCTGCAGTGGATTTCCGTGTCTCAGAATAAAATCCAAAGTTCTAGCCACAGCCTCCAAGGTCGTTACCTACCATTACCCCCAGAGCTTCCGCTGCTCCAGACACATTAGCATTCTTGTTCTTGTCTCAGGGGTTTTGCATATGCTCTTCCATATGGAACAGATTCAACAGCATATGGAACAAATTCATTTACTCCATAAATGTTTGTTGAGTACCAACAATGTTACAGGTTGTTGGGATACATCAGTAAACAAGGTAGACAGAGAACCTTGCCATTGCTATGCTTACATTCCTAGCATATCTGCATCTCTCACCCCCTCTGCTCAAACATCACATATTAGAGAGGCCTTTAACCATTTGCTCTCAAACAGTGATCCCTCCCCCAACCCCCTTATCACATATTCCTTTATGCCGGTTTATTTTACTTAATAATTCCTATCACCATCTGACACATGATATAATTCATTCCTCTCCCCTCCCCACCCCTCCCCTCTCCTCTCTTCTCTCATCTCTTCTTTTCTTTTCTCCCTCCAGGAGAATGCAAGCTCCATAGCAGGGATTTCCCTTGTTTTAGTGTCTGCTGTACTTCCAGAACTGCACCTAGCACATAAAGGTGCAATCACATATTTACAGAATGAATTAATGCATGTGCAGGGTGAGCACTTTTAATTTGGAAACTCTTGTCTTCAATTATGGGAAGATTTCTTGCATTGTTTCTTTGGTAATTTCCTTCTCTACATTTTTTTTTCTTTCTTTTTTTTTTTTTCTTTTCAAACAGAGGTATTATGATGTCATATTCTGTATATTACTGATGACTACTGACTTTTATTGTCTTTTAATTGATTTTCTTTTTGTTCTAATTTCCAAGAGGTTTCCTCAGCTTTATTTTCTCTTATACAACATTTAAAAATTCTCCTATAATGTTTTTAGTTTCTACGAGTCCTCTTATGTTCTCCCATTGTTTCTATTACATTGGTATGATCATTTTATTTACAAGATGGACTGAATAGGGGAAAGACTTTATTCTTTCCCATTTCTCCCTGCTAAATCCCATTCCTTGATGCAATCTCATTTAGGTTCCAAACTTCTTCAGTTACTCCTAGTTAGGAAATAAAAAATCATTTGGTTACTTTTAGTCATAAGAAGAGCATCCTTTTTATGATTTATAAAATTCACATGCAGTATAAAACTCTGATCTGGCTCCCTTTTCCCTTCTTCCTGTCTCCCTACCTTTCCAACCATGTGTCTGGTTAGGGCTTAGATATCTGTGTTGGTAGAGATGAACAACTGACATTTCTACTTCTCTGCTTCTCCTTCTACTACTCTCTGCTTTCTAGATGCTATTTCTGACATTTTCAGAGAAGGAGAGAGGATTAATGAAAAAAGTCCTTTTGTGGCTTGTGCAGTTTGTAATCTGATGATTTCCTCTGAGGTGGCAGGTGCACAATTGCTGGTTCTTCCCTTGAGGGATGTTTCTAGAGGCCTACCCAGTGAGGACCTCTGACTTCAGCTCCCTTTTTGTGGGCAGAGCTGCACTTCAGGAACCACACTGATCTCATCCTCAGCACCTGGACTCTGGCAATCCACAGTTGGGTCACATTTCCCCTCCAGGCAATACTGTTAGGTAGGATTGAACATGACTCCAGGTTGGTCCTTCCATCTGTCCAGCGTGGCCCATGAGAGAACTCACACATTCTTGTCCTGTTGTATATATTGTTCCTAATGCACCCTCCTCTCTTCATTCTGTGTTAAACCAGCAACTCCAGCTGCAAACTTTCCCCATTGCATTTCCCCTAATTACATAGTAGCCACTCCATATCACAGAGTCTAGGGAGCACATGGGACATTCTCCAAATGGTCCCCTTGAAGTTCTTCACATTCAATTTGAAGTTAAAGAACACATACCCTTTTCCTCTCTCCAAAAGTACATTCAAGGAAGCATTGTATAGGGCACCATACTTGGAAGAGATTGGAGAATTGAGGACTATAGATACTAATTTTTCTCCAACCAGAGGAGGAAAAAGAACTTTCTAATAATGCAGCTCTATAAGCTGCCTAATAGTTCACCTGCTACTGAGGGCAGCAGAAATGTCCCAGCTTGGGCCCCAAAGTAGGAATATATCCCTGACACATTGCTTTAGTCCCAAGATCTATATCTCTTATCCACAATGTTCTAAAATAGTCAAAATATATGCCACTGGTAGTCACAGAGACAGGGACATAATATCAGAAGAAATATTTTGACAATTAACAGTACTTATGTAGATTTTGAAGGACTGCTAGAGAGGAGTTGTTGGGGCAGGATCATGAGCATCAGATCGACCTGGGTTTGACTTTTAGCCCTATCACTGATTAGCAAGTGACCTCAGGCAAATTATTAAACATCTTAGAATTCTATTTGCCAAAAAATATTAACAGTAACTCCTATATCCTAGATAGTTGTCTGTATGCTGGACAGCCTATTTGTCACTCCATACCATCAGCATCATAAGCCTGTCTAAGGCTGGGTACTACCTTTCCCAGAATCTCCTTTTTTTTTTTTTTTTTTTTTGTTTTTTGTTTTAGATGGAGTCTCACTCAGGCTGGAGTACAAAGGCATGATCTCGGCTCACTGTAACCTCCACCTCGGGGGTTCAAGTGATTCTTTTGCTTCAGCCTCCTGAGTAGCTGGGACTGCAAGAGCCCACCACCATTCCTGGCTAATTTTTGTATCTTTAGTAGAGACGGGGTTTTGCCATGTTGGCCAGGCTGGTCTCAAACTCCCGACCTCAGGTAATCCACCCGCCTCAGCCTCCCAAAATGCTGAGATTACGGGCATGAGCCACTGCGCCCGGCCAGAATCTCCTTTCTCATGTAATTCCAGGTTGGAGTTAGTGAATGAGACTTTGAGTTTGTGACCTGTGCAAGACTTGGTAGGCAGAAGTGAGGGGAGACCATTGTTCTCAGGGTAAATCTTGCTGAGGCTTATCAGACATGGTCACCAGACGTGGGAGTCCACAGCCCTTTCTATGAGCTCTCACTCTGTAGTGATGGCAGGATTCTCAGTCTTTACCCATGAGCTTTCTACCCATAACAGGCTTTAGGCTGAAGTCATTAGCAACATTTTTTTCCAGTCTTTGGGCTGTCACTATCTAGACTTTCACTCCTTTACCCTCTCTCACATCTGGTCAAGCTTACATTTCTATATGAAGCTTCTTATTCCTGTACAACCTATAGTGGCTCTGATTTCCTGACTGAACCATTATGGTACAGCATGCACAATCTAAAGACATGTAGCAAGGACTTAATCAATCATAGCCAATAATAATAATAATAATCAGAAAAGGCATTGTTTAGAATAATTTGAGACTAATAGATGAATGAAGTTAAACTATGTGAGTCCCATTGTTTAGGTACAGCAAAGATGAGGAGGGATACAAAAGGAGACAATCTTCATAACCTAATGACAAGAACTGCTCCCATTTCTGTAACACTTATCAATTCACAAAGTGTTTGCATATCAGCTGTCTCTATAGTTGCAGAGTTTAGGTTTCCAATCAATGAATTGACCACATGCTTTATTACATGTACAGTTGTTACAATGCTGCATGGTAATTAGGCATAAGTGGTAGTAGCTGGTTTATAAATGACTGCAATTGGAATTAATTTTAGGGAGCCAAATTTTTTTCTTTTGATTCACAAATATGGACAATTTTTCTTCATATTTGTTTTATAGTCTCATAGATAAAAAGACAAGTCTGCATTGTTCCTCAGATCCATTCCTTTTTTCTGCTCTCTTCCAGGGCTGGGGTTTCTCTTCTCCTCTCTACACTCAATTCCTATCCTTCCTTTGCCTATGGACGTCATAAGAAGAATGTCCTGTTGGCCTCTGAATCTGGCTTTCCTCATTGTTTAAATGGCACCAACACTACCAGAATGTCTGGAAGCACAAGGCTGTAGACGATCCGCCCCAGGAGCAAAGCATAACCACTTTGACACAAAGCAAGGAAGGGGAGACCAGCCTAGGGAAGGGGAAGGAGGAAATGCATATCCAGTGTTTTGTCTCTGGGAGTTTTGAACCAGAAGTAGACTGGAAAGCTTATGAAAAAGATAACGGATTCTTTTCAGGATCCTGGCAGTAGAAGGAGCCAGTTCTTTGCTAAGGCAGGAACTGGACAGGATGAGTCAATGTTCCATCTGGGACTCTACACTGTGGCAAAAGGAACTCATGCTGACAGGTACTCCCCTTCACTTCTGAAGGTTTGAAGACTAAGCATCTAACAGCTGCATTGAAACTAGCTCCCAATAGGACCAGAGGGGTGTGTATGTGTGTGTGTGTAAGGCTTCAAGTATGTGCTGCTTGTTAGGAATATTGACTGCTTGAACAGGAACATGCTTTCGGCGATGCACTGTCCATATTTCATTTCAAGGGAGGATGTGTTGCAGCTGCTACTGGGAGTGCTCTCTGCTGTCAGCCCCATTTAGAGGTTACCTTCACCTTTTTCAAGGTTACAGCCTTCCTAAGGAGGCTCATTTTGGCCCAAGGCAGGTCACCTCTGACAAACCATTTTAGTTCATGACTCCTTGTGGGGCTGGCTGAGGCTGTCAGGCCTGCCTTGCAGCTTGACGTCTCCTTCTACCCAGTTCTGCCCCCTTGCCCTCCCCTCCATAGGTGTTGATCTCAGGGGCCCTCACTAATAAACATTCGGCACGTTAAACTTCATCTCTGGGTCTGCTTTCCAGAGAATCCAGTCTGCAACAGACTGTTCTTCATAACTTCAATATTTGTTAATATCTCTATTTTACAGTTATCTCCTCTGCCATTTTCTTTGACCTCACTGCTTTATATCTGTTTTATTCATTTACTCTCATTTCATGAAGTTTTAAGAGGAAATTGAGATGAATGCATGTGTCTGCCCTGGCATTCAGTTACTGTCATTTTATGGAGTTTTAAGAGGGAATCAAGATGCATGCGTGTGTCTGAACTGGCATTGCATTGGTCACAGTTAAATTGCAGATAATATAATTTATTCTAGCTATTCAAAACAGAAAGGGTATTTTCAGGGTATTCAGTAATGAGGAAGACTATTGCAATACTAGTCTATGGATTCTTCATTCTTCCTTTACAATGTATCTCTGCCACTCCTTCCCTGAAGGGGTTGAGTCTATTTCCCTAGAGCTTGAATCTGGGCTGGCCTTTTTACTTGCTTTGGCTAACAGAATGTGCTAGAGGTGATGGTATGCTGTTTCTAAGCCAAGTTCTCAAGGGGCCTCACATACTTTGGAATCCTGTGTACTTTGGATCCCTTTTGGAATCTTTCCTTTGCCATGAGAACAATCCAGGCTAGCCTGCTAGAAGGTGAGAGGCTACATGGAACGATGGTGAGTTGTCCTAGCTGAAGGCATCTGAGATCAGCCAGCTTCTAGCTAACCCATCAGCTGGCCACAAATTCATGAGCAGGCTTAGTCGGATTAGCCAAACACAACCTACATCAACAGAACTGGTCAACTGACCCAGACATTCAAAAGCAATAACAAATGGTTATTATTTTAAGCTGCCACATTTGGGAGTGTTTGTTATACAGCATTACTGTGGCAACAGACAATTGATACAAGTGGCTTAAAGAATCATTAGGAGAGCTGAAGAAGTAGACTCCAGGGCCACATCACAGAACAGACTCACTAAAGGAGCCTACAGTCCAGAAGTCAGGGAACCAAAAAGCTGCCTGCTAAGTTGAGAAGCCTTTGCTACAAGCTCTGACTTCACCTCTGCTATGATCAGGAAGCTGCTGATAGAGCTGCCAACTTTAGAACCATGCTGCTGTTGCTGCAACTGTCATGATTTACACCACTGTAATAGATGCCTGTGCTCTGCTTTTTTCCCATCTAACTCAGTTTATGCAAGTGCTTCTGATCAGCAGAATGTAAATTATACCCGCACTTCAGCTGCAAAGGAGTCTAAGGTCAAAGGGATTTTTAGTTTTCTAGCTTCTGCAGTAGGAGAAGGAGGTTGGAATGATTTTGGAATGAGTCAGTCTCAGCATCACCACAGCATGGTTAACTAAAATATATATGATTCCTGAAACTTCTTCCATAGATAGTACTCAATGATACTAAAACAATATATAGATATATATGCAGTGTTTTACATTTGGGCATATCATTACGTTGTCAACCATCATTCATTCAATTAACAGAAGTTGAGAGGCTAAAGGATGAACTGAACAACATGGTACTAAGATTTTATGAACTAATTGCTCCAGCAAAATACATGTAAAAATCTTTTAAGGGAATCAACAATTATAAGCCACAAAGGAGAGGAAACTGACTTTCTATTCTGAAAAATTTTTGATTCCTTATTGATACTTCAGATACCATAATTAGTAGAAAAATAGGCGATTTCAGAAAGAATAATGGTAGCCATCTGGGCTTAAGCTGCAGTTATTAAGGTGCATATACATGCATTCTGTGATAAAACAAATATTTAAAAATTTATTTTGGCATAAAGGTAGGGATTTACAAGATTCTTTGAAAGGCTGATCTGACCTCAAGACACAGAATCTGATTTTATGAGATGAGCGAATTAATGCTTTCAAATCAGCAGTTAGCAATTCTAGAAATTATCTGGGTCCCTGTGAGGTCTTTCCAAAGAGATGGTGAGTTAGGACAATAAATAATCAGTGAAGAAAAGGAAAGGCAATTGTTAGAAAACAGAATCATACAGTGAAGGTATTAAAATGAAAGAAATTTTGTGCCCCAAGTTTATTCCCTGGGCCTTGTTCAGCTGCAGCACAACATTATTACGATATGTGAGACTTGCCAGTGGTTTATGCCTTACTGAGAACTGCTTTACTCAGCATGGCCTTGTATGGTGAGGAATCCTCTAGGCTCACCAAAAAGAAAAAAAGTCCTGTTGTCAAGAGAACCTGGAGTCCCTCCAAAAGGTGCCCCACTGATTGAAAAGCCAGACACTCCCTTGTCAACAAAGGCATCTCCCGGCTAAAGTCTGCAGGGCAAATTGCACTTGGCTCATTGGTAAGTCTTAATCATAGACCCTATTTATTCGATTCTTACTGACATTAATGTGAAGTATCAGCAATTTTGCTTCTCAGACAGAAACCATGGATTTAATTTTGTCATTTTTCTTAGTTGTGCAATCAGAAATTCATTCATAGGAGGAAAAATCAGTTAATACCTATGGAAAAATGCAAAAGAAAGCGGTTGTCAGACTGATTGCTTTTTGGCAAAGGCTGAGCTCAAGATTTACCAATGAAAGCCCAATTAAGTGTGACCTGAGAGAATGCTACAGAGCTAAAGAGCATTACTAAGCCCCAAAACTGGAATTTCAGTTACCTTGTAAGGTATTTCAGAGAAAATTACATATATGTAAATACAAGGCTGTGTATCACTATATTGATAAAACAGTAGTTTCTAAACAGCATTACTCTGATTTCTGAAGCAACAAGGAAAAAAAAAAAAGACAACAGAAAGCAAGTAATTTACCTTTCTGAGAACTGATCTTGAGCACATGTGAGTTGAATCTTCTTAAGGAACGTCTGGCTTGGATTCAGCTACCCAGGGCAGAACAAAAAAAGGAAAAGGCCTCTAGATCAGGTGTTTCCCAGGATGGAATTTAAAATCAGCTCCTTTATCCTGCCTGCTCTTTAATCGCCCATCATGGATCAAACTTTCTGGCTCCAGATTTAAAAGCAATATCTTTAGAATACCAAGGTGCTCACACTTAGCCCCTTTCTCACTTTCTCCTTTCTATTTCCTATGCTCTTTGTGTACGTATAGGTCCCCTATTAGAAGATTATAATCATATTCGAAGGCAGGGGCTATGTCTTATTCATCTTTGTACCTCCCTTCTTCAACCTTCGTCTGATGTGTTTGCTCATATACACTTTTCTTTTGTTAAATAAAAATAAATATAGCTAGAGGTAAATACAAATTCTTCAATGTTTCAACTGCTACTGAGAAAATGATAGATTATTAATTTGTGAAGTGGTTGACTTCCTTTTTTTAATAGAATGAGTAGTAGATGAGGATATCTACATTTCAAGTGCAAACAAAATTTGTTTCAAAGGATTTTGATATGTTTTTGTCTCTAAAAGGAGCAACAGCCTTATTGTGATAACTATGTCAAGATAAATCTAGAAACGGCCAATGGAGTTATTTTATTTAAGGAGAATAGCCCCAATGGTAACTATCCATACCTTAACGTTTCCTTATCTTCTCAGTAAACTGAATAAAATGCTCTTTTCTTTATAGCTGCCGCTAATGGAGCTGGACTCATGAGTGAGGAAGTGCCTGTGAATGACATCAGTATACAACATCATACAACAGGTTTTCTTTCTTTTATCTCAACTTATGGTATACCATACAGAGTCTTCTAAGCCTTGCTTTTTTTCTTTGAGAGTTTTCTATGTTAGCTCATAAAGAGGTGCCTCTTTCTTGTTAGGGGTTATATGGAAATATCCAATTTAATAAGCAGTTGCATGTCAGTTCCAGTCTTACCCTTCAAACTCTACAAACCACATGACCAGCTCCCTGTTATGTTTGCCAAGAAAGGATGCTAGGGAAAGACTGGGATGCTCTTTTGCTTGCTGTTCCTCCCCGCAGCACCTGAACAGTGATCTTCTACTCCACAGTGGCAGTGGGTTGCAGTCTCCAGCTTTTCTCTTTTCCAGATGTTCCCAGAGGCAGTCTCATTTTGTCTCCTCAGAGGCACCCCACCAGTGGGGTAGTGACCCTTTCTCAGAGGTCTGACCAACTCCAGGAGGCCTCTCCTACAAACCTCCACATTTTAGTAACCTCAACATTTTCTTTTTGTTCTCTCAGGCTTAGAGTGTGAGCTGCTTTCTGGACGTCCTCTTCTCTATTTCTCCTTTTGGCTTTAAGTTCTCCAGTAACTAATGAACCAATAGCTTATATTAAGTTCTCTTTGTTGAAATGCCTAGCGTAGGGTCTGTTTTCCTGATTGGACCTAACGTATCTGTGCAGGATCAGAAGGCCTAAAGGAGAACAGCTTGCACTACTCTTTGGATTTGGATGAACCGTAATATATTTGACTAGTTCTCTCTAAATGGACATTTAGGTTTTTTTCAACCTTTTGTAACTAGAAATAGTACATTAAACAACCTTAAATTAATATTTTTTTCACATATGTGTGAGTCTATCTGTAAGACAAATTAATAGAAGAGGAACTCCTGGATCAAACTGCCAAAATGCCTTTCATAGAGGTTGTGCATTCAGTCTCTCAAAAGTGATAGACAGAAATCTTTGTATGAGAAACAGAGAAATCAATGAAGGGAAGAGTGAGCCAGGTGTGATACCATTGTCCCAGTAAGAGGGCTTAGCTAGTGGGAGAGAGAAGCACAGCATGAGATCTGTCACTTGAGGAGTTGCTTTTTGGCCTAGACTCCAAGGACTTCATTTTAAGCCCTTTGGAGTTGAGAAAGGCTAAAATACAAATGAAAAGAAGGCTCTCTAAGATACAGTGTTACTCACTTCAAAGAGGGTAACGCAAAAAGGAGAGGGGCTTTGCCGTAGATTACCACCAATGCCAGGCAGTTTGAGGAGTGGCTGTGCCCAGTTGCTATGCCCAGTGGAGACTCAGTATCAATCTAAAGTGGCTGTGATAGCCAGTAGCAAGAGTGACACCTACAGATGTATGGCTATTGGGACAAGCGGCAGTGCCACTGGGCACATACTCTGTGGTTGCTGTGAGCACACGGGAAATACCTCCTAGGGACTCCCCAAAACATGGGTGGAACTTTGTAGGGTACTGGGTACTGTTTCCTGCAGTAGCAGAGAAGATAAGAGCTGGTAAAACACAGGCTACAAAACTCATTTACTAAGGTTGTCACTTTTTTTTTTCATTTCTATATCTTTGCCTCTTAAACGGGGTAGGCTTTTGTTTAACAATAGCAAAGTAAAATCTTCTTCCTTAAGTCTTTATGATACATCTCTAGGAAGCCTGGGATGTGACTAAGTTGTTTCTACCATCTGCTGTTTGGTTTTCCTGTCATTTACTCCCTGCTCAGCAGAGCTCTTCTGCAGTGATCTTTGCCCTTGTTTAGCAGACAGGCTACATTTTACACATTTGCTTTTGCGAATTTCACCTTAGCATTTTGTGGTAACAAAGCAGTGTGTACAACCAGGGTTGTGCTTTTCTTACCCTATAAGATGGGCTGCCTTCCTGCAGATGACTTTTATGTTCCACTGTGTCTTGTTTGTGCCATTCTTAATTTACACGACAGAGATGCTGTCATCACCAATTAACATTAATCAAGGGCCCCCTGGATACATGGCTGCATCGGGACTAATTTAATATGCTCTTTGTTCCAGATATCAGGTGGCTTCTTCAAATGAATTTTTAAGTATCTCAGTGATGATGAAGAACAGAGACATCAATCAGGATTCAGGAAGACAGCTTTTGCGGAAAATGCTTACCGGGAAGCAGCAAGGGTTGGTGTTGATATTTGAAAGTTTAAGAGAGGTATACTTTTATTCAGTCAACACATGACAAATGTAAAGGCAGTCATTTGTTGTTCCTGGGAGAAGACTGGCAGCATTCCATTCAGACATCTGCCCTTTCATCATCCCACTTTTTATTTATTGCAGTCCTTTCAGTCTGAATATTTCCTCCTGAGGCATTTTCTGCCCTCAGAAATGACTCCCTGATCCCAGTTCCTGCAGCCCTTATCATTGACACCTTTCATTACACCATTATTGAATAAATATATGTACTTCCTTCCCAAGTATATTAGAGAGCTATCTGGACAGTTTATTTCTTTCCCAATTCTCAGAATCAGCAGTGTTCTGTCAAGAAATATTTATCGATGATGATGGCAACAGTCTATTAAAATCAGACGAAGTTTTGTTTTTAAAAAAAGGGTGAGAGGAGAGACAAGGCTAAAGGGTTGAAATTGAGTCTCACAAGCATCTTTAATAAACGTTTCCTCATCTAAGCGCTGTATGTGTAACATTTTGGGGAGGGTAGAGATTGAGGGAGGAAGAACATCACTGGAGGAAGAGACAGCACTTTGTCTTTCGCGTTTCAATAAAGTTTCAAAAATCCTGCCTAAGCTATATTTATTTTTGGCCTTTCCCTTTTGATGTGACAATAAACTGTAATGCGGCTGTCGGCTGTATGAACCGATATTCAGCAGAATACATCTGAGCACTTTCCTGTCAGAAAAACAAGCGTTCGGTTCTGTCACAGATTTTAGAATTAAGAACACTCTTTCACGTTTGATGCTGTCAAGTACCTGGGCCGGCGAGGCTGGCGGCTGGCGAATTCCACCAGCAGGCAGACGCATTGCTGCGCGGGAGCCCGCGAACCAGGCGCCAGTCCACCCAACCCAGGGCGGCACTACTGGGGTCCCGCCCAGCCCGGTTCCGGGAGCCTTATTGGGAGTCCTTCCGCCCGCCATCTCTATCAGCCCCCAGGATTTGGCACGGGTGGTGGGCGGCTCCCTTTCGAGCACTCATTGGTCAAATCCTAATGGCGGTAAGGCACTCTGCGAGTCTCTATTGGCCCTTAGGCTCCAAGATGGGCGGGGGAAAACAGAGCGACGGGGCTCTAGGCGGGAAGCACGGAGTGCGCCGGCGCGTAGTCGGGGACGCCGGACCGTGGCTTTGCTAGGGAACCGACTGTTATCGCCCCGCCCCCTCGGAGCTTTTTGTCCCGTTAACTGTCCGAGTGGCTGGGGCTCCGGCGCCGGACGACATGCCGGTGCGCTTCAAGGTGAGGCTGGGGTTCCCGGGCCGGAATGTGGCTGAGAGGAGCCTCGGCGGGGCTGGTGCGGAGCGTCGAGGTCACGTTGCTCTTCTGCGCCTCAGTCCTCGGCCCGGCTGACGCTGCCAGCCCCGGGGCCTGCCTGCGGGGCCCCGGAATTGCTCCCTCGCGTCTTACCTAGCTCCCTCTCCGCTCACTCACATTTCCAAGTTGCTGTATGCGGAAGAGTCAGCTGGTGCGAGATAGATTTACTTAGGGGGACTCGAGAGGAGTGGAGATGGGAGGAGGTCACTTTGCAGAGAGCACCAAAGGCTACTTCAGATTCGGTTTAGCATTTAACCCCCATTACTTTTAAAACTTTAGTGTATGTGGCTTTTAAAGGCTTGAGAAATGGGTTCTTAGTAAAGACGGGGTATAAAGAAATACACATTTTTCATCGTACATTTTGTCCTAGCGTATGTTAAAAGTTCCAGGTAGCTGGTAGCTGTCAGGGACTAGCATCCTGCAACTTGACAGGTGGCCACAGCGTCCCACAACTCCTGACTCTTCATTTATCTTAAAGGCTTGTATATCAGAATGGAAGGGAAGTTTGTCTTTTGTTGATTTATCAAATAGCAAAAGGTCCTAGGCATAATGCATAATATTGTGTATTCGGTGAACACTTGCGATAAATCTAGAATGATGAGAATTTAGATTGTCACTAGTTATCCGACAAGAACTCATGCTTTGGAATCATAACAAGTGAAAGGGTAACCTCTGAGCCTGGGATTCCTGTTAGCATCTGCCTCAAGTGGTGTTGAGGATTAAAGGATATAACACGTGTGAACTGCTTAGCATAGGGCTGGGTAAAATTAACTCTTATTAAGGAGCTCGTCTGTGTTTAATTTTCAGTCTGAAGTCTCTCTTGGGAGGTTCAGAAATTATTATTATTTTTTTAATAATGTCTGCTTTAAAACATCATTCCTTAATTGCACTATATTTAAAGTGTACTTTGCATTACAGGGGCTGAGTGAATACCAGAGGAATTTCCTGTGGAAAAAGTCTTATTTGTCAGAATCTTGTAATTCCTCTGTGGGGCGAAAGTACCCGTGGGCTGGACTTAGATCGGATCAATTAGGTAAGTTGAGCAAGCTAATACCCCTTCCGACTTGGGCTAAGTTTATAACTTGGGCTAAGCCGTTATAACTTGGGTTAATTGAACCTTGGGCTAAGTTTACCAAATGATTTATTAAAAGTTCAGTTCCTGATTGATTTATTCATTTCTTAATCAAATATTTATTGAAGGTTTACTATGAGCTAGGACTGTTCCCAGCTCCTAGTGGGGCAGGCCAGGTTTCATTAATGCAGGCCTCCATCATAACTTTCAGTACTGACTGAGTGGTTAAGTTAAATATTAAAAGCTAAGAAAAGCCAGTGCCCTTACACAAAGGCTGGGATGTAACAAAAGTCCATCAAGAGTTTTGCCTACGCCTTTCCTGGGCTGTAATGCATGACAAAATAAGGAATTCTTAACAGGACTCTTTTAGGATTAAACAAATTTTACTGGGGGTCTGAAGAAACTCCCGAGGCCTCCACAAACAAGTTTATTGGAGACCTGAAAGAACTCCCCAAACCTCTGTAATTTAGCAGGAGACAAGATAAGGGTAATCACCCCAGCACCTAGATCCACTTAGATTAAGTAAATTTACTGAGGCTGCAGAAAAAGGTCTTCAGGACTCAGACTTTAGTTATAGATTAAAAGAAGATAATCACTTATGTCCTTAGATGAACACTTAATGGTATATAAGCTCTGACAAACTTTGTAATTTTGTGTTTGTATGGCAATAATTTCCAGGCCTTCTCACTGTAACCCGTTATTGAAATAAAAACTCTTTTTCTCCCTAGTTCCTGTGCATCTTGTTATTGGCCACGAGAAACAGCAGCCTGAACCTCAGTTTGGTCTGGGAACACTAGGAATATAGCCCTGAAACAAAATCCCTTAACTGTGGAGAGAAACAGCAAGTCACCCAATAAATAAGGGAATTTCAGGGTTTTATATAAAATTGTAGGGAAGTGTGATAGGTAACATGGGGGAGGGGTGGATTGGAGGGAAAACGCTTTACATTAGATGGCTTGGAAAGGCTCTTTTTGAGGAAGTGATATATTTGAGCTGTGACCTGAAAGTTGAAAGGACAAGGCTGGGGAAGAGTACTCCCAAGGTCTTGAGGAATAAAAGCTTAGGAAGATTACATTGCTTTCCCCAGCTTTTCAGCTAGTAAGTGGCAGAACAGTGATTTGAAATCAAGTCTGTTTTGTGCAAAACAAATTATTTCAGAGGTCATATTCTTGTTACCACATATGCTTCCTCCCTGTATCCCAGAGAAGTCAGAGTCCTGGGCCAGGGTTTCCTAGAGGCCTATAGAAGAGAAAGGTGACAGACTGATTTCATTGTACCTGCTTGTTTAATTCCTCCTTACTAGCATATTAGAGCTTATTCACCACCTTGTTCCCACCCAGTACCTAACATAAGGCTTCGAACAATCTATTGCTTCTTGATACTAATTTTTGAATGAATGAATAAGCCTAAATTTGAATCCACGATAGCTGTGTGATGTGGGCCTAATTGAGCTGATTTCACCAAGTGAGATTTTAGGAAGCAATCCTGTTGCATAGGATTGCTAGGAGGGTTAAATGAAATGTTGCATATTAAGGGCCTGCTTCATGTACATGGATCAGTGCTTAGTGTCCTACATGTGTTATGTGCAAGCGGGCAGGTAAGTCACATAAATGTTAGATATTTGAAGCCAGGAAAAGACTTATGGGTAGTGTACCAAGCCTGAGAAGTTAGGAAGATGCAGAGGTATTTTCAGGATTAGGTCTGGAGAATAAAGGGAAAAGTGGGCAAGAGTGGGTGTCTCTTTTAGGGCTTCTCCGAAGCATCATGATCTGACCCAGAGCCAAACTTCAGAGACTGGGTATCCCTGCCTCTCCAGCAGGGTGCTAGGAAAATCCCTCTACTCATAATCCTCTTTTTACAAATGACCAGAAATGCCACATAGTTGAGCCTCCATTAGATTAAGAATCCAAATAAATCTCTGTTTAAGCATAGATATCCCACCCTGCTGAGAGCCTGCAGGGCAATTATGACACTGGAAAATTCGTTAAACTGCATAGTTGTCCAGTAACATTTCAGTTTAGATGAGCTGCATTTGAGGGGAAGGTGATGAAATGAGACCATAGGAGCAAAGCCACTTTAGAGTATGGTATGTAATGAAGGAAGGAATGAACTAGAAGAGGAACGTTAGTGGGGAATTTTAGGTCAGGAGGAGGGACCGAGCAAGACCTCCATATTGCTCAGAATGGGAGGTGGGAGGTTAGCAAAAAAAAAAATAGCGGTATTACCCAGGACTGGCAGTACCTTCTTTTAGAGTAGTATATTTTTACCCTGGGGATTTGCTGGTGCTGAGAGATGACATCAGACCAACTTAAGCATCTTCTTTCATTTTGCTCTTCTACCAAAAACCTGCCTCTGTGTTAAAGCAGAGAGAAGTCTAATTGGTGGTCTTCAAGCTTTTTTGCTTTTATACTTCCTAGAAAAATTTCGAAGAACATTGTGCCCCCATCACACATTTCTAAATTGATATTTTTTATAATAAATTTTTATGAATAGTTTTGAATGATATAATTTCTGGTATCTTCATAGTGCTCATATGTTTTACATATATTTTGCAAAAACTTTGGAACTGCCAATTCAGCCCATTCCATTTATGGAAAATATGTATCATACAGTTGGCAAAGTCAGTATCCATTGGGAAAGTAACTGGCCAAATTGGAATTATTTTCTGTGAGGAAAAAAGTCTGTTTATCTTTAATTAAGGTATGTGTTAATATGCATTATGTACATTTCACATGACATCCCTCTCATACCTGAATTTTAATACTAAGAAAGTAGATGGAAAATTCTTGGAGCTATATGAAATAAGGTGCTATTCCTTTGTTATTTCTAATATCTACCTGCTTTGCTTTGCTGTCAAATAGTCTCCCTCGGTGATAAGCTTAAATTGTCCCTTTGTTTGGCTCCCTAACCCTGAGATCTTGTTCTACCCTGGGGGGTGCACTGGAGTAAGTTTCCAGCTGGTTAAGAGGTGTGTCTTTCTTTTGTAAAGTGGGAAAAGGGAGATTATGAAAGGGGCTGTGGGAGATGGAACTGCAGATGGCAGATGCAGCTCTCAGGCAGATAGATCAGCATCAGGCGAGAGAGCACATATGGAGTTAAGGATCTGGAAAATGATTCCCTTATGCTGCCCACTTCTGTTTACCCTCCCTGAAACATCTTTGTGTGACTCCAAACAGATATCCACTCAGCATGAAGGCCTCTGGTCTAGGGAAGCCTTTTAAAAGGGTAAGGACCCTGGGTGCCATGGCCAACACACCTACAACAGAGGCTAAGGAACCCTGGGTTTTACTTTGTGCCCAATTTTCTTTCCACCTTCCCTTTCTTTCCGTTCTGGTCTTAATCTTTCTTCTCCCCCCTGCAACATACTTAAAGAATGGCCCTAAACTAGGGCAGTCTCTCAGTGGCTGTCATTCTGCAAAGCTCCTCTTACCTCCATAGAAAGTTAAGTTTTTGAACATTTCCTTTTCAGACAGAAATATAGAGAAATTGTATCTTAGCTCTTGTTAAAAGGGCTTATTCTTTTTTAATTCTCAGGAAATCAAGGCAGATGTAGAACTAAGATCCAGCATAATGACATCTCATCCCTTCTCATCTTGGTCTGCTCCACATAAGAGCAGCTTTGTGAAAAGTTCCAAATTTTGACAGTACCAGGGCCCATTGTTCCGTTAAGTAGCACAGGAAAGTAATTAGAAACGGAGGCAACATGTACTGCCTGGCTTGCCAGGTCTATCATGTGGCAATTCTAGTGACTTTTGTTAGGATAACTGGAACATTGTGACCCCCTGATTTTTAATTTTTGTTATGGTTAGATTTTTAATACTTTTAAAAGCAAAATTAAATATTTTATGTTGGAAAACTGAACTTTTAAAATCATATAATCTGAAGGATATTTTGTGGATATATAAATAAATATATCTGAACTAAATTTTAAATTTCATTTCTCCTTCGTAAGTGTTCCTAAAAGTTATCTTTGTAACTTTTTGCTTTGGTAACTGCTATTTTTGTATACCGTGTTTTGTAGGGATCGTGAAAGAGCCAAGTTTTATTTCAAAAAGAAGAGTCCCTTACCATGACCCACAGATATCAAAATCTCTTGAGTGGAATGGAGCTAACTCAGAGAGCAATGTGGTTGTATCACCAGAACCAGAAGCCCCGGAAACACCAAAATCACAAGAAGCAGAACAAAAGGATGTTACTCAAGACAGAGTTCACTCACTAGAAGCTTCCAGGGTTCCCAAAAGAACCAGATCTCACTCTGCAGACTCCAGAGCTGAAGGCGCTTCTGATGTTGTGGAAAATAATGAGGGTGTAGCAAATCATAAACCAGTTAGTGAAAATGTGGAACTGGAACAGTCTATCAAGGTTCTTTCGGAAAATGTAGATAATGGGGTAGGCATATTCACTGTATTTCTTTTGAAAAGCATAGAATTCTTTGTTGGTGTCATCCCCATTTCAGTAATATTACATTTTGTGTTTCAGAATTTTCCATTGTTTTCTTGTCTAATGTCTATAAGAATAGTTGATAAGAGGCTGTTGACTTTAGTTACTGTGAATTAGTTCTATTATTACTACTTGCTATTTCGTACTAGTTATACTATGACATCCCTTCATTGGATAGCCTTCCTGCCTCTGGATTTTATTCATCCTATATTTTCACCTGAGTCCTAAGGGAGAGATCAAATTGAGACAGAGAAGGGGAGTAGGCCCTTACTTCTGGCAAGGTGCTCATCTGACTTCTACCTAGTCCCTTTTCAGTTTCTTATCATGTACCAGAAGACAAACAGAAACTCAATTGATGAAATGCAAAAGGAAGGAGAGCTCTGGCTATCTCTCAAAGATCTTGCATTTCTATTCTCTTGTGTCACAGCTGGCCTGCAGCACGTCCCTGTGAGCACATAAGCAGAGGCTGCAGGAACTTACATGGGGATCTCACTGCCTTCCACATTTCTTTCTCGTTTCTGTTCCACTGCTTCTTCTCTGGTTCATGTCCACCACTGACTGGGACCCTGAAGAGGCATTTCAGACTGTTGGAGAAGAATCTCTAGCTTGTTGAAAAAGGTGGGGGTGAAAGGGAATAAGGAAGGTGATGTGTGAGTCTGGTGGACAAAAAACGGAGTTCACAGAAGCAGTGTGCAGATGAGGCAAGATGCTGGGACTTTTTGGTAATAGATTTAATGATGAATGATTAGTAGGAAAGGACTGAGAGGTATTATATTTTTCTTAGGATGCATAATAGTTCTTTGATAGAAAGGAATTTTAAATGGTTTGACGCTTGAAAAAAGATACTATTTATAAGTTGAAAAAAATTTGCTGTACCATAATGCACATGTAGTTAACAATTTTGTACTGTAGACCTAAAATTTTGTTAAGAGGGTAGATTTCATGTTTTGCATTTTTTACTACAATTTTTAAAAAGTTTGAATAGAAATTTTTAATGTCTTTGAGTGGATTCTTTTTTTGAACAGTTGGATAGACTTCTACGTAAGAAAGCTGGATTGACTGTTGTTCCTTCTAATAATGCCTTGAGAAATTCTGAATATCAAAGGCAATTTGTTTGGAAGACTTCTAAAGAAACTGCTCCAGCTTTTGCAGCCAATCAGGTAGTTTAATGGATGTAATACATTTCTGAGTACCATTATCTAGTAATGTAGATTTACTTAGAATTAGGAGTTGAAAGAAATTGGGTACTTAAGTAGCCTGGAGGTAGGTTCTAGAAAGCCAAAAATGAGAGTTTTACTAAAATCATCTGTTACTTATGATTTATAGTAGTAATATTATACTGTCCTAGGCTACTGATGATCATTGTTGCCAGATGCATCACATATACTAAATATGAGACAGGGTAATGAAAACTTGGGGAACTGGTAAGTTTTTGCATGCTATAAGATTTTTTTACTTATTAAAAAATCATTAAATTGATTTTATTCTAAAATGTTGTGTGTTGTTGACTAAAATATTGCATGTTTCCTGTATTCCAAGAAAGGCATAACTGCTTTGAATAATTATTTTAATAAATATAAAGTACGTTGACAGTAACACAAGATATGTAATTTTGTCCTTATATCAGATGAATAGTAATAGGCATTGTCAGTATAACTATATTTGTAAAATTCAAAAGCTGTAACAATATGATATTAGATTTCATTATACTTTTGCACTATTTTAGTATTGAGATACCACTACTAATAAATAGTCTGTTGTTTTACTACCTTCATCCTTTAGGCAGTTCTTAGGCTTTTAACTCTCATTTATGTTCTTCATAGTACTTCTAGGCATAGACAGGAAATACCTCCACTCAGAATATCCCCAGAGACCTATAATGGCTTAGTCTTTTTTTTCATCTGGTCTTTGTGATTTTCTTTATAAATACACACACTTTCACACACCCTCATATTCATTTTCTTCTGTATGTCAACATTCACTTGTATATTATGTACGCCCCTAAGGACTGATGGGATAATTAGATTCAGCAAGACAATAACATCTAGTCATCTTACATTAAGATAAAAAAAACCTAAAAATTGTGGCAGCTTTGGGCTTAATTATCATTCAGTTTTTGTTTTTGTTTGTTTTTTTTGTTTTTTTGTTTTGAGACAGAGTCTTATCCTGTTACCCAGGCTGGAGTGCAGTGGCGTGATCTTGGCTCCCTGCAAATTTTGCCTCCTGGGTTCAAGCGATTCTTCTGCCTCAGCCTCCCAGTAGCTGGGACTACAGGTGCGTGCCACCAGACCCTGCTAATTTTTGTATTTTTAGTAGAGATGGGGTTTCACCACATTGGCTAGGCTGGTCTCAAACTCCTGACCTCGTGATCTGCCTACCTCGGTCCCCCAAAGTGCTGGGCTCCCAGGTGTGAGCCACCATGCCCGGCCATTGTTCAATTTTTAAAATACCTTTGAAATTTATATAACATTTTAAAATCCTACGAAGTAACAAAGTGGTAAGTACCCTTTATTAACATGGTATATAGGATCGGTACCTCTTTTGCTTGCTACAGGTTTTCTTGAAGATTAAGTGTACCTAAAACATTACTTACAACCTGAAACTTGTAATTATTCAGTTTTTTATAGAGTATTTGACCTTTAAGCTAGAGCTGATTCAACTCAAAGCCCTATCATCAACAAATAGGACTTTTAATGTCAGCGAAAGTGTTGTGTAGAAGTGTTACTTTTATAAGAGAAATCTCTTTCAGTATATTCACTGGCAGTTTTACTGCCTTCTTTAATAAGTGTTTCACATAATTTTTAAAGAAGCAAATGCTCATTGTTCAAAGCATATCGATTTCAGTGTCTATGGATTGAAGAGCTTTGAGACAGCTTTCAATGCTCGTTAATAGAAAACCTCTAAAAAGGTTGTTCATTTCTATTAGACACCTGCTTTCTGAAAGGATGTCTTAATATGCAAAGGAGCCAGAACAGTTTTTGACAGGAAAGTCCTTGAGGTTATACTGTACTAAAAAAAGATATACTGTTTAGATCTGATCTGTATGAAGATTGTACTGTTCAGCATTACAAAGCAGTAATATAACTGGTTTGAGTTCCTTATCTTTTCCATTTGCTTTCCTTGTAATCAGTGGTAGCATGCCATGAAATAGAAACCATATTGTGAAATAGTAGGGGTAAAAGGAAACATTTAACAATAGAAATGTAGCATTTGCTCAGGACATTTTTTTTGCCTTAATAAAATACACTGAAAATAAGCCAAGGGAAGAAAAGTTAAATATTGAACATATTGAGTACTCAAAAATGTCAAGAATTTTCTATTAAAGCAGGAAGAAAAATAATCGTGTCAGGGAGAAAGAGAATAACCTGTAGAACTGACAACAGAGTTGCCTTAAAGCTAATGTCTATGGCACATTAAAATATGCCAATATTTATTTTGGTTATAAGCTATATTTTGATTATAAAACTATTATTCAGAACATAGTAATGAGTATATAAAGTTGACCTCTGGATGTTAATAATATATGTGAAATGAAATTACAGTCATTTATGATTTTTCTATTTTTTTGTCCTGTAATTCAACTTTATGTATGTTTCATTATGTAATTGAAGACCAAAGTTCTTTGTATTTAATGAACAAAACTAAACTAAACTAATTTTTGTTTTAAGGTTTTCCACAATAAAAGCCAGTTTGTTCAGCCATTCAAAAGTAACTCAATCGTCCTTGAAACTGAATACAAAAGAAATTTCAAGGGTTTATCTCCAGTGAAAGAACCAAAATTAAGAAGTGATTTGAGTGAAAACAGAAATCTTGAAACAGTATCTCCTGAAAAGAAGGTATTCATCAACTTTTAATCTTACCATACAAAATCCCCATTATTTTAGATTCTCCACATTTTCTTTTACTTACTACCACCTGGAAGTTTTTGGTTTTCACTAGTTCATTAATTCATTTGTTCATCAAATGTTCATTGAACCAGCTACTAGGAGCAGACATGGGTTGGTACTGAGAATATAAGGCTGGCAAACACAGCCCCAAGCAGCTCTTGGCTAGTGGAGAGACAGGCATAAATAAAAATGATACAGCATGATGAGTACTTAACAATACAGCAGGTAAGTCTACTATGTTTAATATCAAATGACTGTATTTACAGTAATCTCTAGGGGTAACAGTAGTGATAGAAATACTTATTTTAGGTTATGGAAATTAAACACATATATACTCACATATATTTTATTTTATTTTTTATTTTTTTATTTTTTTCAAGACAGAGTCTTACTCTGTCACCCAGGTTGGAGTGCAGTGGTGCAATCTCGGCTCACTACAACATCTGCCTTCCGGGTTCAGGCAATTCTTCTGCATCAGCCTACTGAGTAGCTGAGACTGCAGGTGCATGCCACCATGTCCGACTAATTTTTAAATTTTTAGTAGAGATGGGATTTCACTATGTTGGCCAGGCTGATCTTGAAATCTTAGCCTCAGGTGATCCGCCCACCTTGGCCTTCCAAAGTGCTGGGATTATAGGCATGAGCCTTCATGCCCAGGCATCATGTGTATTTTAAACCAAAGCTTTAGCATGCCAAATTATAGCCAGTGTAATTCACATGATTTACCTCAGAATATAGAAACAACTGCTTTTGTGCGAAATTATAGCCTCTTAAGTTGCAGAATCAGGCTAAAATGATTATAAATTACAGGTAAATGGGGTATAAATACTATTTTTGAATCTCCTGGAATGTTGATACCTGATGTGTTATAGGTCCTAAAAATAGAAAGTGTCTAATTACAGGTAAATATGACTGAAAGTAAAATGATTTATACACACACACACACACACACATTGGGCCTATGATATTATTGTGGAAAAAAAGATTGTCATTCAGTAAGGTAACCTGGTAACTAATTCATCAGGATCCTATGTTTAATTACTGTAACACAATTATAAATTTAGAATATCAAGTTCAGTATGTGCTAACATTATTTAGATACGTATTTGTTAACTTAAAAGTTTTCTTCCTTAGCCAAAGATCTGAAATCTTCATTGTTAGAAAATGAAACTATATCCTGAGCGAAACTTCCAAAATAACCAAATATACTAAAAATTTCAAAATTTGTTTGTTGATTTCTTATGATTTTTGTTTTCTTTAGTATTTAAAGCTTCTAAAAATGGAAATGTAATTAAATATTCAAATCTAACTTTATAACATCCATGTTTTCACTTTAATGTGTAACATTTTAAGCATAAAAAGCTTAAGTTATTTCCATTTCAGTGTAATAAAATAGACGATCCTTTAAAATTGGAAGCAGAGATGGAATTGAAAGCCTTACACCAGCCTAAAAAGAAGCTTACTCCTTGGAAACATCAAAGGCTCGGGTATGTATTTTAATAGGAAAATACGGTATTTCAGTGATCAAATGGTGAAATATTTACTTTCATTTCATTTCTATTAGGAAGGTGAATTCTGAATATAGAGCAAAATTTCTCAGCCCAGCTCAGTATTTATATAAAGCTGGGGCTTGGACACGTGTGAAGGGAAGCATGCCAAATCAGGTGAGTGTACATGAGCTCAATAAGCCCTCATGTTCTTCCAGCCTCTATTAACACTTTAATTTCACAATGAGTTCTATTAACACTTTAATTTCACAATGAGTTCCATTTGGTAACAGAGACCACAATTTAAAGAAGTATGATTCAGTAATAGCATTAAAAGTATCAGGAACTTATGTATTAGGATGTAAATTATCAGTGTGTGTTTTTTTTAATGGCACTGGCTCTTCAGAAATTAGTATGTATTGAAGTCTTTTAAGTTAGTGCTTTTTACTGTCAAACATTTGATTGTGCTAATAGACTCAATTTGTGGAATTGTATCATTATAGATTTGATTATTTCATAATCTCCAGACCTCCACTCTATCAACTGAAAATTAATTTTCAAGATTAAATAATTTGTCTGATAGGGATGACCATTGTCAGTGTGTACTGTTACAGTTTGTAGGCAAAAGAAAGGTGCAGCCTGTGCTGTTAGAGGCTTGAGCTACAGTGTTGGGGTACTCTAACATATGGAAGAAACTCTGGGGATCTGAAGGTAGGTTTGAGGGGAAGGGTAATTCTAGAGTTGGTAAGTGCTACTTTAGTACTAGCTTCTTATACTCAAAGGATAGACAATGGAACATTTTTGTTATTGTGTAATTAGCATCTTTTAAATCATATCTTGACAGTTCTGTGAGAACAGGCTAAACGAAAATGTTTCTGTTTAGATTAGGCATTAGTAAACATCCCACTTCCCCCTCTCATTGTAAACAGAAGGATAATTTGGATGGGGAATGAGTCTTTTATTTAGCTCAGTACTTAAAACCATGGCCCACAATTATAGGTAATCAACCTCTGGGGGAAGGGGCTAGTGCTCTGAGCTGCTGGTTCTTTGAGCTGCAGCACCCAGACATATGTCCTGGCAACTGCCATGCTCTGCATATTGTTTCAGGAGGTCACTTAATTCCTCCCACTTTTGCCACTCCTTTGCTTTTTACTTCTCTATTTGAGCATGGCTCAAAGACAGCACAGGCAAAGTAAAAGACAACGTTCAAAGCTGTCCCAGATATTATCTGGGGCAATGTTCATATATTCACCTTAGTGAAATCAAGTTAACACTATGAGCATTGAAAGCAGCCATGATTGGAGAAAGGCAGTGAGTCAGCTAAATTCTTGAGCAGTTGATGACCATCCCACATCTTGGCAAAGATCTCCTGACTAAGGAGTCTAATAGTGGGAGTGAGGAAAAGCAGGAAAGAGGCAGAACAATGTGTGGCTGGCAAATTGGTGTCAGCCGCTGCCTGTTGTGTTTAGGCATGACACTATGTTGAGGTTATGCGAAACTCCTTGTTTTGGAAGACTGTTTTTTCTGAGATTTCTTTAAGCTAAGATGAGTTTAGGCCTCAGACGTAAATATCAAATGGACTGAGAAGATTGTTAAAACTGAAGTCATAGTAAGATGAGATTTCTTATCCTGCCTTGATGGAAGAGAACATTGTTGTCAATTTAAGATAGACTTTTCAAGGTTTCCTATTAGGATATCTTAGTAATGTTAAATTAAAGACTATATTGGTGGTTTTAAATATTTAAATTAGTGGTATAGTTTGCCTTAATTTCTTTGGGAAAAATAATTCAAAAAGTAAATTAAAGTTGGAAAAGAGTAAGAATTTTTAGCTAAGACGTCAATGATCATGGATGATAATAACAGTTTTAGTTGACCAGCTTATAGACATTTAATATGGGCCATGTTTTACTTTTGTCTCTTGGAAGTCATTTACTATAGGCAGCGGATTATGAGGTTCCTAAATATAAGGTACAGTACTACTTCATTTTCCCACTCCTGACATTTCAGGAAGGAGCGTATTCACACTTTTCAAATGCACTCAGACGTAAGTGACTTGGTTGTTGGAATAATAACTCATTTTTGAGTCACATTAGTTTTTGAGTCCATATGTCATCTTCATTTCTTTCTATGTTTGAGATGTATTTTTTGAATCTGTTTAGAGTCTAGTCACTGGAAATTTTATGCTAAGTCCCAAGTACCTCTCATATAGCATTAGGGTGGTTGGTTTTATTTGCCCAGTGGTTGTTCATTTGTCTTCTTTATTATAATAACCATGTGACCATTGCTTTTTAAAGTACTCACTTAAGGGATTGTTTCTTAATAATAGTCAGCAATTACAATTTTTTAGGTTCTATCCTAAGAATAACTACTTAATCTATGTTAACCTTTTTTTCTTAATTGTCAAGTAATCTTTTCATCATCCATTGGTTGAGGTGATTTCATTCTAACGTGCCTTCTACAAATAGGACTGTGTTTCAAGATAAAGTCCTGCATTTGAGAGATGTCCTGTAACTTGACAGACATTGTAAAGACTAGGTATAAAGTGATCCCTCATTTTTGGAGGATGATTTTTGGGTAAAAAGAGTTTTTATCCCTAGTTTCTTGAGTTTGAATTTTCTGCATATATTTTAAATAATTTAGTTGAAGTCTTAATTTGGACAAAGAAATTAAGAAAAGGAGACATTCTACTTACAATTATATAATACAATATGATGACATTACTTGACCCAGAAAGGTGTGTGTATGTTGTTTTGAGTTGGGAATGGTTTTCTTTCTATCCTTTTTAGTGGCTCTGGTTATTCGCTGTACAGGTCGTTCTATTTAACATTGAGTTCATGCCATTGATTATTTTCCCCCCTCTTTTTAGTAGAACATATTATTTTAGGAAATGTCAGCCTTCTAATTTTTCATCTTAGTTTAGGGTTATAGATATTGAAAATCACATATTTGTAAAATATAGTATTGGCACTAAGATTACTAATAAAGATTTTTGATATAGTAAATTTAAAGCACATAGTTTTAAATGTCAGTAACAAATAGAACTGAATAAGTCAAAGTTCTACAAAATTTTTATAGATTATCTTTTTTCCCTCCTGTGTAAATGAAGTTGATGTCACGTAAAACTGGATGGCTGTGTACATGGAGGGTATTCATCCATTCTTTCATTCATCAAGCACGGATAGATGCAGCTGCCTCTGCCGCCTCCTTCATCTCCACTGTCCCACAACTCTACCCAACACAGTGCAGGACTGATTGGTCCCCCTTTTGAACCACTTCTTCAATTTACATTTCATTTGTTTATTATGGCATAGAGCCCCACCAATATTATGATAATTTATGTACAGGTTGGCCTCCTGTCTCAGACTGTGAGCTCATTGAGTGCAGGGAGTTTCTTGCTTATCTTCGGCTGCCATGTCTAGCTCAGTCATACCACTTAGTCCACACTCAGGGCAGGTGTGGACTCAGTGTTTAAATGCTACATTTTTCCCTCGCCTCAAGGGGTTCTTAGGTTGTTGGAGGAGGAGGACATGTGCAATTAATTCCAGTAAAATTGAATATGTATTAATGGAGATATGCACAAAGAACTTTGAGAACATAGAGGAGGAAGTGATACTAAGGCATATAGGAGATGGAATGGCCATGAAACTTTTGAAATCTGCGGGCACTTATTAGCATTAACATCTAGAGTATATCGAGGCACTTTATAACAAGGTTCCTGTACATTCAGAATACCCTGGTTAGAAGTTCAGTAGAGTTAATTCGTGTACCGCACTTCTACCTGTTAAATGCAAAAGCACTGTGAGAAATTTTCTTTAAAGTTTTAGGAGTTGACAGAAATGATAAATGAACATAGCTTATTTTTATTATTTTTTTTGGCAATGAAGAAAATATTTCAAATTATCTTTTCAGGTATGGTTCATTAGAGTAGGACTCTGTTGGGATTATATGGTTTCTTATGCAATACAGGTGCTGTATTTTGCTTTGTCCAATTTCCTAGAGATGTAACACTTTCATCTCTCTGCACTCACAATTGTATCTTGTTAAGGAGCCGAGAATATGTTTCTACAATTACTTTTGCATTGCCTTTCATTATTTGCTTTTTATTTTTTGCCCTGAAAGAGAAGCAATTCTAGAATAAAAATTTTCTATCTTGATGAAGAATTAGTGTTTTTTGAGAATAAAGATATTAAACAGAATTTTAAGAGTAAAACTTCATTGTTTTTTACCTTGTGGAATTGTACTTGGATAAGCCAGCAGGTGGCAGTATGATGTATAAAGTGAAAGACATTGGTACAGCTCCTTTTCATAAGAAAATAATACTTGCATATTAAAGAATTCATGTTACTTTGTAAATCATCAGAGCTTTTTTTATCCTGTCATTTTGTTGAACATATTGCAATTATGATCTTATGGGCTATTATTTTTAATTATATATTTAGTGCTTTTTTTTTTTTTTTTAAGTTGAGGTTTTGCTGATTCCAGGGGAATATTGAGGAATTTGGAGAGGGAAGCCTCATAACTATCTCAGTGGGGGCTTCTGTAGCAGTAGCAGCTGTATATAAAACCGTGAAATAAAGCTAAGTTAGGGATTTCTGGCATGTATCTTCCAGAGGTGGGGAAATAGTAATAATAATTAGATTGCCTAATTTACCTGTCATCAGCAGCATCCCAGCCATGCAAGAATGTGGCTGATTTTCAAGATAATAATAAGGTATCTTGGTTACTGAACTAATTGCTAAAAATACTAAGAAATATTGATTGACAAGTTTGGTAGATACTTAGAAAGGAGAATAATATGTTTCATTGGTTTCCATTAATACTTAGTTATGGCATTAACCTATCATTAAGTGTGTTTCTGTATTCCTTCTCTAGGGTTCTGTAAATGCCATGTGGTATGCCGAGGTTGGTTGCTTTTGAGTTTTTAAAAACTATAATAATGCATATATTACTTGTGTAATTTCAGTTGGAATAAAAAGTAGGTGTCAGTATTTTTCTTAGCTGCTATGAATTTCTCCCTGCCTGCTGGTCTGAAATAAAATAACTGCATCATGCTTTAGCTTGATTGTTTTAGTTTTTGCTTAAATGCACAAAGTCTGATGACTGTATGTGGCTAATTTTGCTTGCCTTTGTCCTTGGTCCCTGGCTATATTTGTACAATGTCTTTGATATGCTACTTGGTGCTATTTGTAAACAAGCATTTACAATACTATGTGATGTCTGAACTCTCCTGCATAGGTTAAAGAACTCCGAGAAAAGGCTGAGTTTTATAGGAAGCGAGTTCAGGGGACACATTTTTCTCGGGACCATCTGAATCAGATTCTGTCTGATAGCAACTGCTGTTGGGATGTCTCCTCAACCACAAGCTCAGAAGGAACTGTTAGTAGCAACATCAGAGCATTAGATCTTGCTGGGTGAGATATTCTTTGTGGATGGTGAAAAAGTTTGTTGAAGCTTATGTAGATCATAGAATGACATAGGAAAAATGACCTGACTACTCAAAATTTGTCTCCTAGTCAAATGGAAATGTGGCAGCCATTTATTTCATTTTTATTTGCTGTAAAAAATAAAGCAATGTAGACTTGCTTTATTTGTGTATAAATAATACATAATGTAAATCTGGAAGGCTGGAGTTTTATAATATTCTTTGTTGACAATTAATAGCAGAGAAGGGATGACTATATGGTAGATGTAAAAAGACCTTTAGAAGGTAAAAAGAAAGTCAACAACAACAATAAAAACTTAGAGACTATAAGCTATTAATACATATCCATTATCATTCATTAATGGATTTTGTGGCTAATTCAGAACTTCGCTCCTGATTTAATGGGAGAGCTCTCTGCTGTTTTGGGTTTAAAGTGAACATGATTTAACTATTTGTAAGAGAAAGTAATTGAAGAACTTAGACCGTGGGGGTCCTAGTTTATGTGTGTAAATGCCAGTTTAGGGGCTAGGTATGACTTGTGTCAGCAGATGTACACAAACATATATGTGAAGGTAGGAGTAAAAGAAGATAAACATATTTTGGAATATTTTAATGGAAACTCCAGATTGTAACTTTTATTTATTTTACTATAAGATGAATTATATTTCCTTCTTCAATACCTGAACAAGGCAGTATCTAGGGAATACATATATTGTGAACAGTAGAAGGAAACGATAGACTCAGTAAAATTGATGTAGACTAGAAAAGTGCAAACTATTTACATTTAAAATAAAACTTACTTTGTTATGCAGAGACCCTAGAAGCCATAAGACTTTGCAGAAATGTCCTTCTACAGAACCAGAAGAAAAAAGAGATATCATGGAAGAACAGCCCCAGAAAAATACCATGGAGAAATTGGGCGTGTCAGCTCCCACCGTACCTGTTAGGAGGCGGCTGGCATGGGATGCAGAGAACACCACTGAAGACGGACAGAAACAGCCCAAGGAGAAAGAGGAGGAGAAGGAGGAGGAGGAGGAGGAGGAGGAAGAGGACAGGAAAATGGGCAAGCAGGCTTATATAGGAGAGCAAGAGCAGTTGGATGTACATGAGAAATCTAAGGCAGACAAGATGAAAAAAGGGTGAGAGTTTTAAATTACTCAGTATAGAGAAGCGTTATTTACATAGTTGATATGTATTTTGTTTTGTCACTAAGTATAGTGGTTTGCACTTTTGATTTTATCACTAATAAAGTGCAGATTTTATTTCAGTGTCACAAAGTAGGCATTGCTGTATGGTTAATAATCTGATTCACTCAGGTATTTAAGTCACCACTGATTGGTAATTGAATACTTGAATTCTGGGGTACTTTGGGAGGAAATAGTTAGGTTTATTTTCATTTATGTCCTGTAATTTATGGTGTGCCATATTTGCAAATGTGTGTGGAAGAATGACTATGTTTAAAGAAATAAACTGGTGTTCTTTAATATCAGATGATTCTACCAAAAAAGAAAATGTTTTGTAACATCTTGAAAAAGGTGATTTCTGAAAATAGCTAATTCCTATTGTTTTGTGTGTAAATTGCTTTGGGGAGTGGCTCTTCTCCATCATTGATAATAGTGCCTTTTGTCTATAATCCAAATCACTTATTTATTCATGGATGTTACAACTAATAATATGGAACTTGAGCCTTGATATAAGGAAGGATTCTCTGCTGTATTGGTTCTGACTTGCAGTGATTTTCCTCCATCCAGTATTCAGTCACTTTTTTCTTTGTGGGTTGTTTTTATCTATTGATATAGCTTATAGTATTTTTTCAGTGTTCAAATTTTATTTTTGATCTTGTGCTTAGTTGTTCTATTCATTATTGAAAATTTCAGTCACTTTTAACTGCCTGTGGATTTGGTGGTTATTTTTTCAGAAACAAAATGGCCTCCTCTTACAAGTTTTATACTTTAAGTGATGGCAAAGTATTTTTTTATCATATGTTCTAGAGGAAATGCTGTATAGATTCATAGATTGTTTCAATTTATAGGTCAGATTCTTCTTCTGTATCCTCAGAAAAAGGAGGCCGGCTTCCTACTCCCAAGCTGAGAGAACTTGGTGGAATCCAGAGGACTCATCATGATCTCACTACTCCAGCTGTTGGTAATTGGCAAACATCATGCAGTTCTTATTTAACCTGCTTTTTCTACATGATAATTTAATGTAATTGAAACTGTCATCTTCTTTATTTTTCCAGGTGGTGCTGTTTTAGTGTCTCCATCTAAGATGAAGCCTCCAGCCACAGAGCAGAGGAAAAGAATGACCTCTCAGGATTGTTTAGAAACTTCAGAGAATGAATTTACTAAGGTAAATATATTTTGGGAAGAAAGCATCTCATCTGGGACTAATCATCATAGACACATGTAAAAAATAAATGATAGGTTAAGATTTTAGAGAATTGTGGCTATGATATGAGGAGATGATACTATTAACATGCTTTTAATAAGGCAAAAGGCTTGACTTTTTTTCTGGTAGAAGCATTGCATTTTTGTTAATACACTTTCAACTTTGTCAGTAGTGACTCAATAGGAAGAGGAAGAAAGCATACTTTTATTGAGCATCTACTGTGTGACAGTGGTATTCCTGCTATGTTCCAGGCATTGTTTTAGTGTTGGGGATATAGCAGAGAACAAACAGGCAAAGATCATGGCCGTCATTGAACTTACATTCTAGTGGTGGAGAGAGACAATAAACAATATAACCAGATAAAATATGTAGTATTTTAGATATTGATTAGTATTAAGGAGAAAAATAAAGCTGCTGAAGTGAACAGGAAGTGGCTAGGAAAATCCTCAGTGCGAGAGTGGCATTTAAGCAGGATCTGAAAAACATAAGGGATTGACCTGTATGCGGATCTGGGAAGGTCTAGGTGATGAGAACAGCAAGTGCAGTCCCTCAGGTGAGAAGGTACCTGCTTCCTTGAGGAACAGCTAGGAGGTCAGTATAGCTGGAGAAGAGAGAGAATGAGAAGGAGAGTAGTGTGGATAGAGTTCAGAGACATAATGGAGTGCTAAATTGTGTAGGGCTTTGTAAATCATAGCAAAGATTAAAAATTTTTTTCTCTGTATGAAGTGGGAAGCTATTGGAAAGGTACAGGAGTGACATGATTTTACTTAGTTTTTTCTGAGGTCTTTCTGGCTGCTGTGTTGAGAATAGATAGTAGCAGAGCAAGAGCTGCGGCATAAAAACACTTGGGAGTCACTTACGCTGTCCAGGTAAGAGGTGATGGTTGTTTGGACCTTGGTGGTGGCAGTGAAGGTCATATGATAAAGTTCAATTTTGGGTACACATGGATACAGCCAACAAGATTTGCTGATGGATAAGATCTGGGGTGGGAGAAAGAGAAAAATCAAGAATGACTCGAGTTTTGGCCTTAGCAATAAGGTTGGAGTCACCATTTAACTGAGCTGGGGAAGGCAGTGTGAGGAAAATATTTGTTGGGGAAGATCAGTAATTCTGTTCTGGACACACTAAATTTGAGAAGCTTATTAGACATACAAGTAGACATGTTGAATAGGGAATTGACTATATAGGTTTGGAGTGTAGAGGAGAAGTTGGGCTATAGCTACAGATTTGAGGTTTTTTATAACTTAAGTGGGTCAGGTATTTAAAGTATTGAGACTAGAGGAAATCAAGGGAGTGGGTATAGACAGAGAAGAATAGTTGCAGACAGATCTGAGCCCCAGTTTTTTGATATTGGGAAGTTGAAGACTAGTAAGCAAAGAGATTGAAGAAGAGCAGCCAGTGAAGTGGTTACAAACAGGAGACTGGTATCCTGGAGGTGTCAGAAAGGGAGAGTCAAGAAGGGAGGTGTCAAGAAGAGATAGGTCAGTAAGACAGGACAATTGCTTACTGGATTTAGCAACACAGAGGTCATTGGTGACCTTGATAAAGGGCAGTTTTGGTGGAAGGGAGGGAAAAAAGCCTAAGTGCGAGTGAGTTCAATAGAAAAAAGAACAGAAGAATTGGATACAGCTGCCACAGAAAATTCTTTGAAGTGTTTCTTTTCCAAGAAGGGAAGCAGAGTAACGCAGGGGTAGTTGAGAGAGGTGAGATCAAGATGGAAGACATAACAGCACATTTGTATGTTGACAAAAATAATTTTGGAGAGAGAAAAGTTGATGGTGCAGGAGTGGGGAAAGTTGTTGGAAAGATGCCTTTGAGTAGGAGAAAGGGCTTAGGATTTGGTGGAGATGTGGAGGGGCTGGCTTTTGACATCGATTGTTTCTTCATTGTTACAAGAGGGAAGGTATAATTCATGAGCACTGCTGGTGAATTTAGGAAGATGTGATGGCAGCTTTTGGAAAGCCTCTTCTGATTGCTCCTTTGTGACATGTGAAGAAAGATCCTTGCTGAGACTAAGGCCGGAGAAGATGTTGGAGATTCGAGGAAAGTGAAAGCATAGAGTAGTCATCTCAGAGAGTGGGAGAGTGAGTGGGCCAGGGGAATGTGTAATATTTTAGGCCAATGTTAAGGGGCCATTTTAAGTTGGTGGTCACAAAGGTGGTGGAAGACCAGTCAGGAAGGATTGTGTGCTTTCTCCAGGAATGTTTGGCTGCAGAGGTGCAGGATAGATAGAGAGTTGGATTTACCTAGGATTTTGAACTTGTCATGAGAGTAAGACAAAGTGAGAAAAAGGGTAATGGAGTTAAGGTATATATGAAGAAGGGATTATAATGATTGGCTGTTGAAGTTGAGTTGGTTAAGGAAGGACACTGGGACTTGAAAACAGTACAGAGGTGATAGGATCAGTGGATGGATGGTCTTGGTAAAATAAAAGACTTGTTGGAATTGGGGCATCCGTGGGGAATAGTTTCAAAGTTAGGAGATGGTGGTCAGAAATTGAGATTATGGAGAGGTTGTAGTTACTAGTAATGACAAGGCTTAACATATAATCATGAGTGTAAGTGGTTGGAGTAGAATAGAGAACATTCAGAGAAGAGGTTGAAAATCTATAGGGAATTTTGCTGATGACTGTTTGTGAATTTGAATACAAAGTAGTAGTTTTCAGGGATTGGGAACAGGTGGGAGATGGGATCAGAGCACCTTCTACCTCTTAATCCCCAGTGCTTAGAACAGAGCCCAGCTCATAGCAGGTAACAGGCTGAATGAATGTTATTGAAGTGACAGAATATCCAAACTATTTCCTGTTGCTTATGTATATGTTGGTTTATTAAAGGAAATGTGACATTAGGAATACAGTCAGAAGACTCATGAGAATCAAATCTTAGTGAACTGTTCTGCTCCTCCTGAGAAATATCCAGGCCGCCACCTGGAAGGTGTGAGCGTTTAGGCAGCTATATACACACAGCTGATTCAGCCAAAACAAGTGACTAATCCATATTTGCAGCTAGATTTATATGTATTATTTTCACTTACTCTTGAATTAATTTATTGAATAAATAGAGTAATATCGTCCCTCAGAATTTTAATGCCAATCTCTGTCTCACTGTGCGTGCTATGTACTTGTAACATTTTAATTACCAACTTCTCTAAAATAAGCAAGCTTCTGGCTCACACTTGTAATCCCAGTACTTTGGGAAGCTGAGGTGGGCGGATCACGTAAAGCCAGGAGTTCAAGACCAGCCTGGCCTACATAGGGAAACCTTGTCCCTACCAAAATTATAAAAATTAGCTGGGCATGATGGCAGTTGCCTGTAATCCCAGCCACTCGGGAGGCTGAGGCACAAGAATCGCTTTAACCCGAGAGGCGGAGGTTGGAGTGAGCAGAAATCACTCCACTGCACTTCAGCCTGGGAGACAAGAGCGAGACTGTCTCCAAACAAACAAATACATACATACATATGTATATATGTATGCAAGTTTATTATTGACAACTTGATTGGATATCCTTCCATGTGAATTTTCTGCCACCAGCACTACCAGGGACTATACCAGGAGCTAGCTAGATTTTGTTATTTCCCAGTGTCTACGCTTTGGTTACTGGTAGGCAGAGGAGTTGCTAAACTTTGATATATACCATCAGTTTTTCCCCTTATATTCTCTTACTAAAGCATTTATAAGAAATTATATTATTGTAATGTATAAAATTAAACTTGTAGGTCATTCAATTTCCAATAAATTATCAGTATGTCCCAAAACTTTAGGGTAGAATTCTCATATTGATTTGATTATCAAGAAGCATTTTCAAATCTTAAAATTATATTAAAAACCCAAGTGTGCATTAGCTCACTTCATTCATCAGCAGATTTACCCACATGCTATGGCAATGATAATGAATAGAAACAGACATGGTACATGAGCTTATGAAGCCTGCAGCAGTCTGATCAGGGAGATACATGTTAACTACACCAAAAAAAAAAAAAAAAAAAAGAAATTAAAACTAACAAGGAGTTTCAATATCAAACTACTTAGTGCTATTCTGGAAGGAATTGGCCTAGTCATGGAGATCAGGAACCTTTTTGGAAGCCAGTGATGCTTCTTTGAAAAACTCATAATTGAGCTAAGATGAAGAAGAGGAAGCATTAACTAGGAAAAAAGGATGGGAGAAGGAGCATAGGCTATTCCAAGATCTTGTGGAGAGAAAGAATGTAGAGTTTGAGGAAACAAAGATCAATACAGTGTGTGGCAGGGAGCATGGTGCAACATGAGGCTGGAAAACAGCAACATTGGGATTTCTGTCATTATCTCCAGAGCAGTGGGAAGCCATTGAAATATTTTAAGTATGGGAATTGTGGTGGATATATGTTTTGCAAGATCTGTTTGGCTGCCATAGGAGGCAACAGTAGATTGTGAATGCCCTTAAAAAGCCATTGCAGTAGTCCACGTAGGAGGTGTTGGTAGCTTGGATGAAGGAGGGTGGGAATAGATAGAAGTGGATGAAACTGCACAGTTGTGTAAGGAGAAGAATGATAAGGCTTGATGCTGGGTTGGGTAATGGGGGATAAGAGACAGGGATGCCTGCTTAGTTTCTGGCTTGCCCATCAAGATTGATGGAGGTACCATGCACTGAGCAAGAGAACTCTGGACAAGGAGCCTCTTTGGAGGGGAGTTGTATTTTCATTCATTCAATTTGATATTTAATAGGCTCTTACTATGTGCCAGGCACTGTTCTGGGTTCTGGAGATTCATTGGTAATCAAGACAATATCCCTGCCTTCATGAGGCTTATATTTTCATTGGGAGGAATGGACAAATCATTTTTTAAGAAAATAATTTCACATAGTAGTAAGTACTGTTAATGAAATAAAACTACAGATGACCTCTAAGGGATGGGTAAGGCAGCTTTAGTTTGGGCTGTTCAGGACAGGCATCTCTAAGGAGATGACATTTTAGCTGAGACCTGAC